CTTGCTTTCGACTCAATATATACTTCAAGTCACTCTTGTCTCGAATTTCGGTCAAAAACTGGCGGTCGATGTCCTCGTAGTTGTCTTCGCGCTTATTCTTCATGTGTTCAAAACTGCGGATATGTTTCACGCCATCGCTCATCGATGGGAACGCCTTCTGACACAACTCGCAGTAAGTCTTGTCCTCTTTGGTCACTAAACCCTCGTTTGTGAAGACATTCAACGAGTCGTTCCGTGGCTTCGATTCCTTGCGCTTCGCATCCGATCCGGAGTTCGTGTCATCGGATCTGTGTTTCGATGACTTCTGTCTCAAGTGATCGCTGCTCGACGGCTGCGGCGGCGGTGGCGACGACTTCTTCGCCGCTATCGTCGACTCCATCGACGGCTTAAACGATGAGATGAACTGTTGTTTTGTCATTTGCTCGCAACTGATGCCCGCAGTGATGGCCGACTCCTCACTCTTATGGCAATTATTGTCGCTTTTGTGTCGTTTGCCATCAGAGCTCTTGTGGTGATGTGTTGTGGTCTTGCGGTCGATGGCACCAAATGGATGCGAGACACGAATTCTGGCCAAACATTTGATCAAAGTCTTGAAGTCAGACAACCGTTTGAATGAATTGGTGTTTATGTCGAAGATCTCGAAGACGTGTGAATCGACGGACACCCGATGTTTGGCATCTATTTTGCAGATCTGTGTCAAGACGTCGCCGAAGTTCACGTAATGGATGTCCTTCTCGATGGTTATCGTGTGCTTCTTCTTGTCGATGGTCACAAAGCACTCGAAGTTTGAGCCCATGTTGTCGTGACAACAGCTCAGGAGGTCTTTACCATTCAATTGATACCTCAAAGCAAACTAATTGTCAAACCATTGAATGCTTTCACAAAACAAAACACATTTTGTTTGCAAACAAACGTTCAGTCATTCAGTCTTCACATCATTTACGTCCCAATCGTTGCAATGAATCACAAAGTTTTGCATTCACTCCGAGTTTGCCGTTGATTTGCATTGCATTTAATACTTGTAATTATAGTTACGGTTACATTCAACACGATTTAGTCGTTTTATTTTTCTAAGTTATTATTTTTAGTATTTTTCATTGCTTTTAATTTGCTCAGACTTTGTGACTACAAATAAGTTTACATTCGTTTCAATAGGACTTGTATTTCAATATTTTATTAAATTAGAAAATCATTACAGATATAAACTTTAATTTAATAAATGGTCAGACATTCACTTTTTATGGATTTTGTTTGCTTTAAACATAAGTAAAGCAATTAAGAAATTTTAAATTATAGTTGTAAATAAATTAAGTATATAGCTTAAGAATATATAATAGTTATGGAATCAAGGTAAAAATAGAGGTAGTCTATCGTATTTATTAAAACCGAGTTCACAAATAGTTTTTCCATAAATACTCGCATTCAATGATTTTCAATCCATTCTTAATCTCAATATCTGTTTGTTTGCCATTTATTTCATAATAAGGAGCTATTACTTGACCATTAATTGCATAGTATTGGAGCCATTCCACTCCATTCACGGCACCGGGAGATCTATAATAAAATTATTTAAATTACTATTATATTTGAGATTATTTTGTCAATTCCTCAAAACAAACCCTGTTTTAGCAAATGTTGCAAATATATCAATCATTTTAATTGATATTTGCCTTTCAATGGCTAAATATTCTGTATTCTCATGACTTGAGAGGAAAGGTATTCCAAATACAGGGAAATTGTCGTATGTGTGACAGACACCCATCCATTTGGAACAGTAGGGCATCTCTTTCGCAATCTGAATGTTATAGTAATACTGAAATATTTGATGATTTGTTTTATTGTAGAAATTCTTTGCGAATTGAATGGTAGGACAAGTGCTAAATAAGTCTCCGATAGCTTTGCCCACCGTTTGTCTCAACAAATCCTGACTATTATTATCCGAAAGACCTGTAAAGTAAAGTTTGGCCACATTTTGGCCGTCGATTGGGGCTCTTGACACCCATTTCGATGATATTTGTTTCAATTCATTGAACGCCTCATTGAATGTGATGTCCGTTGGAGTAATTGGATGGTATGTCTTGGGATCAATAAAAATGGCCAAAAGCGGTGATCCCTCATCTGCTTTAGTGCCGATCATAAGATTAATTTTGTTGTCAAAACTATTTTCGTAATTCATTTGAAGTGAGTTATTGCCGTCTTTTATCGGCAGTTTATGTTGGTTGCCGACTTTAGGATACTTGAGCAGCAATTATAGCTCTTTACACAAGTGTTAACTGCGGTTGAAAAGACCGCTGACTAGAGAATTCGTAACTTAGCATAGTTTCGTAAACTTCTCGTCACAAGCGTTGAGTTCATCGCAACAACCGATAAGTTTTGATTGTTTTAACCAATACTTGAGAGCAATGTTGGGCTCAACCACTAAACCGTAATTAAGCGCAGCGCCTTATGTTTCGTAAACTTCTCGTCACAAGCGTTGAGTTCATCGCAACAACCGATAAGTTTTGATTGTTTTAACCAATACTTGAGAGCAATGTTGGGCTCAACCACTAAACCGTAATTAAGCGCAGCGCCGGACATAAGGATAGCGTTTTTGAATAGATTCCGATTAATGGGAGATATGATGTGCAAACTGGTAGCCCAGGCACCGGAACTTTCGCCAAACACTGTTATTCTGTGGGAATCGCCGCCAAAGTACCTGATATTATCATTAACCCATTCCAGAGCTAATGACTGGTCTAATAAACCCATATTTCCCGGACTCTCATCGGTTCCCGTATATAGAAATCCAAACGTATTTAACCTAAAGTTTATGAAATATAATACATTTTTCATTAATACCGTAATTCCCGTTTAAACTCAAGATTTTTCAAACCTATAGTTAATAGTGATCACCACTACATCTCCCATCGCAGACAATGCCAAGCCTTCAATGTGTTCATCACTGGAAGTGCCGTAAAGAAAGGCACCGGAATGTATGAAAAACATGACTGCCTTTAAACTATCATCAGATTGGGAACTAATTGGTGACCAAATATTCAAATAAAGACAATCTTCACTGAAGTTATTATTTTTCATTGAAGTTATAATAAGTGGCAATTGATAGCAAGGGTTCGGCCATTTGGTTGCATCTATAGGTTGTGTCCACTTCTTGATGGGCACCGGCTTTTTAAATCTCAAGTCATGAACGGGTGGTTCAGCATAAGGAATGCCTAAAAAGACATTCACATGTTTGCCATCAATTGTTTCGGTTTTTCCGTTAATTATCCCGTTTTTCACAGAAACGCTAACACTTTTAGCATTGATTCTCACATAGGAGATGAAAATCATAGAAATAAGCGAACGGAACAAATATTTGGCACATTTTGACATTTTCTTAAGCTCTTCAAAGTTTTCAAAAACTTTTATTCAACCAAACATTTCCTTCAGATAATATGAACTTTATATTAAAACAAAGAGTACTTATCATTGAAGTATTGGTACAGAATTATTAATATAAATTAAGTTAATATATGGGTATAAATTGAGTTTGGTTTTTTTGGTAATAAAAGTTATAATATTATAGACAGATATTAAACTCGATTGCATTGTAAAGCCAACGGGCAGTGAATTTTATTTTTTTATTTTTAAGTGCAAACTTAAGTGCATTTTCAGTACACTCGTGGGGTAACCAGTCTATGCCTATTCGGGTCAAAATTATTATTTATTTTTAAACATTAACCAACACACAAGTGCTAATTAGTATATTTAATTATAATAAATAAGTTTTCAATTAACATATTTTAGCAGCTCACGTCAAAGCTTTATTTTATTAAAATATGATGACTACCTTGGTCAGCCCTAACCCTATTCTCTTATGATTCAATAGCTAATGTGGTTTTTCTACTTTTATATAATAGTTACTGTATTCACAAAGTCCGGAGTGCACTAAAATTTTAGTCTAAAACATTACATACTTTCTCAATACAGAATATTTCAGTGTACCCTTGCAATCAATGCAATGCTAAACAATTAAATTGTACTCAAATAAACTAAAACACAATACAGTATTTGACCACACATTATACGGTATGAAAATAATAGTACATTTATATTGTGAACTATACTTTTGTAATATTTCTTTGCCATACAATTTCTCAATTGAATTCACATTTTAACCATTATTTTAATAGGAGTTTATTCCAACACTTATTACCGTACTATGAAATTAATTAAAACATTGTGTTTTAGTAAAATTGTTTATTAAATTAAATAATTTCAAATGGATTTATGTCTCCATTCATACNTACTATGAAATTAATTAAAACATTGTGTTTTAGTAAAATTGTTTATTAAATTAAATAATTTCAAATGGATTTATGTCTCCATTCATACAATTAACACAAAAAATAAAGATTAAAATATAATTTATGAATGAAATGGATTATGGATTGGAGAGCGAAATACAAGACAAACAAAAACTTAATCGCTGTCTGAGTCGGAACTGTTGGACGAGTGCACGGATTTGTTGCCCTCAACTGACTTATCCTCAGCCGGACTCTCATTATCCGAGCCTTTGGCCACTTCTTGCGTCTCATTATGTGTCTCGTTCTCCGAGTCGGAGCTCTCAGCAGACGATTGATTTGATTTATTATTCTCGTCGTCCGACTTGTCTTCAGCGGCGCTCTCATTATCAGAATCTTTGGCCACTTCTTGAGCGCCATTACCTCTTGCTTTCGACTCAATATATACTTCAAGTCACTCTTGTCTCGAATTTCGGTCAAAAACTGGCGGTCGATGTCCTCGTAGTTGTCTTCGCGCTTATTCTTCATGTGTTCAAAACTGCGGATATGTTTGACGCCATCGCTCATCGATGGGAACGCCTTCTGACACAACTCGCAGTAAGTCTTGTCCTCTTTGGTCACTAAACCCTCGTTTGTGAAGACATTCAACGAGTCGTTCCGTGGCTTCGCTTCCTTGCGCTTCGCATCCGATCCGGAGTTCGTGTCATCGGATCTGTGTTTCGACGACTTCTGTCTCAAGTGATCGCTGCTCGACGGCTGCGGCGGCGGTGGCGACGACTTCTTCGCCGCTATCGTCGACTCCATCGACGGCTTAAACGATGAGATGAACTGCTGTTTTGTCATTTGCTCGCAACTGATGCCCGCAGTGATGGCCGACTCCTGACTCTTATGGCAATTATTGTCGCTTTTGTGTGGTTTGCCATCAGAGCTCTTGTGGTGATGTGTTGTGGTCTTGCGGTCGATGGCACCAAATGGATGCGAGACACGAATTCTGGCCAAACATTTGATCAAAGTCTTGAAGTCAGACAACCGTTTGAATGAATTGGTGTTTATGTCGAAGATCTCGAAGACGTGTGAATCGACGGACAGCCGATGTTTGGCATCTATTTTGCAGATCTGTGTGAAGACGTCGCCGAAGTTCACGTAATGGATGTCCTTCTCGATGGTTATCGTGTGCTTCTTCTTATCGATGGTCACAAAGCACTCGAAGTTTGAGCCCATGTTGTGGTGGCAACAGCTCAGGAGGTCCTTACCATTCAATTGATACCTCAAAGCAAACCAATTGTCAAACCATTGAATGCTTTCACAAAACACAACACATTTTGTTTGCAAACAAACGTTCAGTCATTCAGTCATTCAGTCATTCAGTCTTCACATCATTTACGTCCCAATCGTTGCAATGAATCGCAAAGTTTTGCATTCACTCCGAGTTTGCCATTGATTTGCATTGCATTTAATACTTGTAATCATAGTTACGGTTACATTCAACACGATTTAGTCGTTTTAGTTTTATTAGTTATTATTTTTAGTATTTTTCATTGCTTTTAATTTGCTCAGACTTTGTGACTACAAATAAGTTTACATTCGTTTCAATAGGACTTGTATTTCAATATTTTATTAAATTAGAAAATCATTATAAACTTAATAAATGGCCAGACATTCACTTCTCATGGATTTTGTTTGCTTTAAACATAAGTCAAACAATTAATCAAGAAATTTTGAATTATAGTTGTAAATAAATTAAGTATATAACTTAAGAATATTAATTAGTTATAGAATCAAGGTAGAAATAGAGGTAGTCTATCGTATTTATTAAAACCGAGTTCACAAATAGTTTTTCCATAAATACTCGCATTCAATGATTTTCAATCCATTCTTAATCTCAATATCTGTTTGTTTGCCATTTATTTCATAATAAGGAGCTATTACTTGACCATTAATTGCATAGTATTGGTGCCATTCCACTCCATTCACGGCACCGGGAGATCTATAATAAAATTATTTAAATTAATATTTGAGATTATTCTGTCTATTTCTCAAAACAAACCCTGTTTTAGCAAATGTTGCAAATATATCAATCATATGAATTGATATTTGCCTTTCAATGGCTAAATATTCTGTATTCTCATGACTTGTGAGGAAAGGTATTCCAAATACAGGGAAGTTGTCGTATGTGTGACAGACACCCATCCATTTGGAACAGTAGGGCATCTCTTTCGCAATCTGAATGTTATAGTAATACTGAAATACTTTATAATTTGTTTTATTGTAGAAATTCTTTGCGAATTGAATGGTAGGGCAAGTGCTAAATAAGTCTCCGATAGCTTTGCCCACCGTTTGTCTCAACAAATCCTGACTATTATTATCCGAAAGACCCGTAAAGTAAAGTTTGGCCACATTTTGACCATCGATTGGAGCTCTTGATACCCATTTCGATGATATTTGTTTCAATTCATTGAACGCCTCATTGAATGTGATGTCCGTTGGAGTAATTGGATGGTATGTCTTGGGATCAATAAAAATGGCCAAAAGCGGTGATCCCTCGTCTGCTTTCGTGCCGATCATAAGATTAACTTTTGTGTCAAAACTATTTTCATAATTCATTTGAAGTGAGTTATTAGGCAGAAAATAGCCGTCAAATACAACCAACGGCTGAAATCCTATGAACTCGTCGTTAATATCGAGAAATGTGTTCACAATTGACGCCAACTTTTCTGGCGACTGATCTCTTAAGCATTGAATCGTATGTTTCGTAAACTTCTCGTCACAAGCGTTGAGTTCATCGCAACAACCGATAAGTTTTGATTGTTTTAACCAATACTTGAGAGCAATGTTGGGCTCAACCACTAAACCGTAATTAAGCGCAGCGCCCGACATAAGGATAGCGTTTTTGAATAGATTGCGATTAATGGGAGATATGATGTGCAAACTGGTAGCCCAGGCACCGGAACTTTCGCCAAACACTGTTATTCTGTGGGAATCGCCGCCAAAGTACCTGATATTGTCATTAACCCATTCCAGAGCTAATGACTGGTCTAATAAACCCATATTTCCCGGACTCTCATCGGTTCCCGTATATAGAAATCCAAACGTATTTAACCTAAAGTTTATGAAATATAATACATTTTTCGTTAATACCGTAATTCCCGTTTAAACTCAAGATTTTTCAAACCTATAGTTAATAGTGACGACCACTACATCTCCCATCGCAGACAATGCCAGGCCTTCAATGTGTTCATCACTGGAAGTGCCGTAAAGAAAGGCACCGGAATGTATGAAAAACATGACTGCCTTTAAACTGTCATCAGATTGGGAACTAATTGGTGACCAAATATTCAAATAAAGACAATCTTCACTGAAGTTATTATTTTTCATTGAAATTATAATAAGTGGCAATTGATAGCAAGGGTTCGGCCATTTGGTCGCATCTATAGGTTGTGTCCACTTCTTGATAGGCACCGGCTTTTTAAATCTCAAGTCATGAACGGGTGGTTCAGCATAAGGAATGCCTAAAAAGACATTCACATGTTTGTCATCAATTATTTCGGTTTTTCCGTTAATTATCCCGTTTTTCACAGAAACGCTAACACTTTTAGCATTGATTCTCACATAGGAGATGAAAATCATAGAAATAAGTGAACGGAACAAATATTTGGCACATTTTGACATTTTCTTAAGCTCTTCAAAGTTTTAAAAAACTTTTATTCAATAAAACATTTTCTTCAAATAATATGAACTTTATATTAAAACAAAGAGTACTTATCATTGGAAGTATTGGCACAGAATTATTAATATAAATTAAGTTAATATATTGGTATAAATTCAGTTTGATTTTTTTTGGCAATAAAAGTTATAATATTATAGACAGATATTAAACTCGATTGCATTGTAAAGCCAACGGGCAGTGAATTTTCTTTTTTCTTTTTAAGTGCAAACTTAAGTGCATTTTCAGTACACTCGTGGGGTAACCAGTCTATGCCTTTTCGGATCAAAATTATTATTTATTTTTAAATATTAACCGGCACACAAGTGCTAATTAGTATATTTAATTATTATAAATAAGTTTTCAATTAACTTATTTTAGCTGCTCACGTCAAAGCTTTATTTTATTAAAATGTGATGACTACCTTGGTCAGCCCTAATCTATTCTCTTATGATTCAATAGCTAATGTGGTTTTTCTACTTTTATATAATAGTTACTGTATTCACAAAGTCCAGAGTGCACTAAAATTTTAGTTTAAAACATTTCATACTTTCTCGATACAGAATATTTCAGTGTACCCTTGCAATCAATGCAATGCTAAACAATTAAATTGTACTCAAATCAACTAAAACACAGTATTTGACCACACATTATACGGTATGAAAATAATAGTACATTTATATTGTGAACTATACTTTTGTAATATTTCTTTGCCATACAATTTCTCAATTGAATTCACATTTAATCATTATTTTAATAGGAGTTTATTCCAACACTTATTACCGTACTATGAAATTAATTAAAACATTGTGTTTTAGTAAAATTGTTTATTAAATTAAATAATTTCAAATGGATTTATGTCTCCATTCATACAATTAACACAAAAAATAAAGATTAAAATATAATTTATGAATGAAAATGGATTATGGATTGGAGAGCGAAATACAAGACAAACAAAAACTTAATCGCTGTCTGAGTCGGAACTGTTGGACGAGTGCACGGATTTGTTGCCCTCAACTGACTTATCCTCAGCCGGACTCTCATTATCCGAGCCTTTGGCCACTTCTTGTGTCTGATTATGTGTCTCGTCCTCCGAGTCGGAGCTCTCAGCAGACGATTGATTCGACTTATTATTCTCGTCGTCCGACTTGTCTTCAGCGGCGCTCTCATTATCAGAATCTTTGGCCACTTCTTGAGCGCCATTACCCCTCTCGTCGTCCGAGTCTTTATCGCTATTCTCTTCGGGTTTGTCTTCATTCGCCTCATCGGCCTCTCTGTCCACTTCCATGCCTTCCTCTTTGTCCTCTTCCTCCTCATCGGACGACTTGTTGACGGGCGCGGGACTCCTCTCCACCTCAGAGTCCGATTCGATTCGCGCTCTTTTAGTCTTAGTTTTGTTGTCTGAATCCGAGTCGGAACTGCTGTCTCCAGAACTCTTCGCAACTAATTTATATGCAAATCAAACATCAAATTATCATTTAATACACGATTATCATTAGAATTGCACTCAAATTCCTATACCTTTCTGTTGCGCCTCTTCCTCGTCGTCAGAATCGGCTAAAAACCTCTTTTTATTTGACTTCTTGTTGTCTTTCTGTTTCTTCGCCTCAACCGGTGAATCAGAATCTGAAGAATCGCTAACTTTTTTGGCTTTCGATTTGGTCGCAGATCTCCTCCTCTTTTCTCCCCTTTTCTTAGCGTCAGAATCGCTGTCAGAGGCGTCTGAAGAGGACTTCTCGGATGCGGAAGATTTCGACGACTTCTCAGACGAGGAAGACTTCTGACGGCTTTCGTCTAAAAATTAAAAATAAATTCATTACTCAGTGAACATTAAAACAATGATCGTAAGCATCGGTATGTCGTATATGTCGTACCCTTTTCCTCGTCACTCTTGGGTTCGTCGATCTCCAGTTTGCGGGGTTTGTCTTCATCCGAGTCGGAACTGCTGTCGGAATCGATGTATTCCTTGGACTTGAACTTTCCGGGCTTAGACTTGACGGCCTGGTCCGCGGTCTGGTGGATGTGCACCCGACCCTTGTTCTCCTTACTCTTCTTCTGCTTGTCTTTACGCAGTCGTCTCTCCTCTTCCCGTCGTTTCCTTCTCTCCTCATTCCTCTCCTTCACCTCTGCATCAG